AGGCGGTAAATGTGGCATTGAATGCCGAATTCAATTTCAAGTCGGCACGACTTGGTTGGAATGCATACTCCAGCATCTCGTCGAGCGGGTCTGTGCCCATGGATCTCAGCTATGCTGAAAACAAGGGAGCTGAGCTCCGAGCTGTCGGGGGTTCAACAGAACTCAGTTCTTTCCCAAAAGGTCGCCCCGCGCCTACTGGGTGGTGTCGTTTCCCCGCGAAGAACCAGACTGGTGGGAATTGCGGCGATGGTTCAAAGAACCTTGACGCGCCTTGCGCAGGGGCAACCGTTTCGAAGGTGACGGGTATCTCCACAGACAAAACCCCGTCGTGTGTTTGTGTGCTGCCAGAGTGGTAGAGGTCAACAGAGCCCAGCCCTGAAGAGCTCCGTGCTCTTGAACACAGAACGAGTTTTCAAGCTGGGCTTGCTGGTTGTAGTGTTGATCGTAAAAGGCATCGAGAAGCCATGGAAGATCCCCATCGATTCCGGGGCGTCGGGGGCTATGCTCGATGCTCCACGATGGAGGGATGTCAGCTGTATGCTGAGGTGCTGAAAGCGCGGTTGGGTGACATCGTCACTGTTTGCCTAGCGATGGGGACACGTGTCACGGTCCCGAAAGTCCCTGTGGACCTCGGAGTCAAGCTCCTTGACTTTGATAGCGTGGAACGCTGTCTGGTCATAGACTTTGATGCAAGGTATGACCTCATCCACGCAATGGCATGGTTGAATCACCATGATCCATGGATTGATTGGAGGTCAAGGACCTTGGGCGCTATGCGCACGTCTCCTGGTGGAGCTTTGGCGAGTCATGTTCCCACCTCTGCAAGGATACAAAAGCGCTATTGGCGATGCACTGGACCGAGACGGTCAACGTGCTAGACATTGTAATGTCCGAGTTGGTAGTCACCAACGGTGAATCGGACATGAGTTCCGAGCGTGGCTCGCGGGCTCATCGTGGGGTAGCACGTCACCCACTCAGCGCTGCTCAAGTTTCGGAGCTGTCGCTGCATGCCATGCGTGACATGGTCGGCCAAGGGCCGAGGCATCGAGGGCAAGGCCCCCGTGGTGCACGTGAAGTGGCACGTAAACTACTAAGCGCTACTCGAGTATTAAAGCAATCGCTGCATGATATTCGTGACATGGTCGGCCAGAAGCCGAGGCATCGAGCCCTTCAGATGCGCGTGGAGTGGCACGTTATCCACTGGACGAAGGTTGTGGGGTTAGCAGATCTTCGTTGGATGTTGCAGATAACATCGGAGCTACAAAGGGCGGACAGTGATGGTTACACCGGGCGACGCGGAAGGCGTGTACACCCTGGTCTCACCGAGACACAGAACCTCTGTATGATGATGATGAAGATCAGGTATATTGTGTTAAATGTAGATGAACGACGATATCCTTTCTCCTAGCTACACTACGTTATGACGCGTTTCGACTAGTTGGGAGCCGGCATTCTGCCGTTAAAGCTCGCCGGCTGGGTTTCGGAAGAAACCCCCAAGTTCTAGCTTCTCTAGAACGGTGCTCCATCCAAGACAGCTGAGACCTGCAACCGAACGCTTGGAGCCAGTATTGTAGGTCTTGGTTGAGGTGTTCCGCAATGGCTAACAGTTTGGATGAGAGGTGCTTGCTTCGCATTGTTGGGATCGACATGAATCCATTGCGATGTTTGCTGCGCTATCTGCCATGTTGTTGTTTGCCCTTGGGTGATGGCACTAGCCGACGACCTGCAGCTTGCGAATCTCGAACTGGCATTGAGCACAACTACACCAGAGGGTGTGCTTTTTCGGAGGCCGATGTTCTCGCATCTGTCCGATGATCATTGAGCTGTCTCCGATCACGTAGAGCGGCGAGCATCCGAGTGACACTGCATAGCGAAATCCATGATACAGGCCTGCATATTCTGCTTTGTTATTCGTGGTAGTTGGATGGCCATAAGCCAAAGACGCGAACCAGATCATCGTCGGGGTCGAGACCTCGCTAATTATGCGCACCAGTACCGAACCCAAACCGCCTGGACCAGGGTTGTCTCTTCACCCTCCGTCGAAGAAGATGCGGTATGCCGAGTCCATGCTGGGTAGAGAGATTGCTGGGAGATCCGCTTTGTTCGTGATCATAGCAACGATTGCCTTGAGTACTCCGACTGCTGTGTCCGTCGTCTTAGGGCATAGTGTGTTTAAGAGAATGCAGAGGTCCCGGAGTCCCGTCGATAGGCGAACCATTGTTATTCTAAAAAGCGTCTCCGTATTGTCGCGTACGCAGGGGTTACCGCTCATGACCTTGATTCGGTAGTGCCAGACAGCCGCCACACACATCACGCACATATAATGCCACACCATGTTGGCCATTGGGTACATCAAGGTCCTTGCTTCCTCTGCAGACAGATCACTGAGCTGCTGGACAGTTTCGAGCGCTAATCAAGCTGGAGAAGTTGGTAGTTGAAGTGCGAAGATTGCTTCTAGAGGCTTGCCTTGAGAGCTGACACCGAAGACTTCCCATTCTCTGATCAGGTGGTCCCACAATCTCTTGGCATGCCCAGAAGACGTGAATCAGGTGAGTTCTGTCCGACCTTGAACATGTCTCATGTAGACACGACAGGTTATTTGCTGTTCGGTTCCACAAGTTACCTGAGGTCGGGTCTTGAGTCTCAACATGATCTCCTGAGCTGACGAGGCTATCCCAGGAACAGCGAGAATTGCTGTATACTTCAGGTTGTATAGGTCGGCTTCAAGCCTGGTTGCCTCGTTCGTAGGTCCTGCTGAGCTGTCCATTCGTCCATCCCTCTTCTTGATGCCATTCTTTGGTCGCTGTGGTTGGCAATGGTGCTTGGGTGTCCTGCATTTGAATTTCCAACCCGTTCGTCCGCATCTCAAGCTGACAATTTGAGACGGTCGCGGGTGTGGATGGAAGGAGACAGGGATGCCATCAAGATCTCGTGTCGCTACTTTGTCGGCGTCCTGAGGTCGCTCGAAGGGGTGAATGCTGGTTGTGATGGCCGTATCCTGATGGCGTATCGTGCTGTCGTTGTCCAGGAAATAGTTATCGTGTTTTATCACCTCTGGATCCGTTAGTCGAAGCGCAACAGCAGCCTTCGGTCGATGGAGCTGTTCTGGAAAGTTCAGTAAGAAAATCAAACAAAGATGCTCAATGGATCGGAGAGCTGGGGTCGTGACAGCGGTGCTTGTCGATGGGAATCTGATTCTGACACAGCCGTGTTTCACCCACCGCCATTGCAATAGATCGCGTAGCTCTTAAGCTGTTACTGTCGACTTGGATCAATTGAGGTCGTAATGGCGTCCCTTGCTGTCAAATAGCAATCCTGTTGCCTTGATGTCACACAGCAGTAACCATTCGTGGCAGAAGAATCCACGTGAGTCTCCACGAGTCTTGATGCTGTCGTTCAGATAATGAGATCCGCTTTAGCCACCGCGATTGCATATTCACCGCCTATCCACTCGGCTTTCCCTATGGCACGCGCCAGGAGCGCCTTCATTGTTGTGATCTCCGCTGGAGAAGCAACAGGGATGCACAACGCAGGTAGGGTGGCTAGTACCGTCCATCCTGTTTCGCATAGGCTGGACAGGAGCCTCTCTGAGCTCTTCCCATTCGTTGGAGTGATGTACTCCGAAGCCGATTCCCTGTTCGTCGAGAAGAGGTCTATAAGAAGGCGCTCGTCACGAGAGGCATTCATTGCCCTAGCCGCTACTGTGGTGCACTGGATGTGAGAAGTTCCATTGTCAAGTTTGGATAGCCGATTCCTCCTTGAGAGGCTCGAAGTTCTGCTTGACACTCACTTACTCACGGCTTCTTCTTCTCTTTGTCTGTGCCACCTCAGACGAATCTCTTGGTTAGCTGCTACTTCGGGTCGAGTTGCTCCTTTGTCGGCCATGCGTATTGAGCGCAGAACAAGAACGTCGGTATGTCAAAAGCCCGCGCGATCTCAGCTCGTTGAACAACCGTGTGAGTTTTGTTTCGCGCCAGCACGAGTCTTGTCGTTAGCGCGTTTCTGCATGAGTTCCAGTTTGCTTGGGTCTGATCATCCATGCCCATCCGTACGCCGAGAAACCTCAATGGTCTCCCTTGGCTAGAACTGGGATTCCGTTGAGACTCTCGGGTGGCTCTTGTTCCGACCGTCCCAAAGGGATGGCTATTGACTTCGTGAGATTCACTCGCAGACCCGAAACCATGGCAAATCGTTCCAAAATCTCCAAAACTGCCGGTGTGTTCCTGTTGTCGTCGAGGTACAATGCTGTATCATCGGCGAACCACAACTGCGGACCTCAGTTCCTTCGTTGTGTGTTTGAAGTGCGATACCTCGTAGATCCGGCACTTCATCGTGACTCTGTACAATACGTCCAGTGCTACGACGAATAGCAACGGTACCGATAGACAGCCTTGTCGTATCCCGCTGCTTACTGTTAGCTTGAAAGAGCTGTATCCGTTGACCAAGAAGAAGCCCGTGATTCCGTGGTGAATGCTTTCTATCATCACGCAGAAGCGCTGAGAGAATCCGTACCGACGAAGAGTGGCGATGATGTTATCTCAGTTCAGGGAGTCGTAGGCTTTGGTGAGTCGAGTAGTTTGGCGATTGGTCCGCTGGACATCTCCGTGCAGGTTCCATGTTCCCGTAGCGCTGTGAACATGTCCACTGCAGTGCTGAGCTGGCGTTTCGGTACAAAGCCGAATTGCCTCTTGTGAATGATTTCGGTAGAAAGCGCTGAAGTCTCGTTGCAAAAATCCTTGTT